GCGGACACAACATCTTTGTTGGTATGTGGTGCTGAGGATCGAACCCGGGCCGCACGCATGCCAGGCGAGCGTGCTACCGCTTGAGCCACATCCCCAGCCCCCTTTGGGTATTTTTTGTCATTAAATAAAAGTTTTGAAGGAAATATTTTTGCATGTGTATGCTTGCCATCTATTATTTATTTATTTTCATGATGAGGTAGGGTCTTGATAAGTTGCCAAGGTTGGATTTAAATCTACAATCCTCCCACCTCAGCCTCCCATATTGTGGGGATTATAGGCATGTTCCACTGTACCCTGGTCATGTGGTTTTAATTCACATTGTTTTGTAGATGAATATRTCCCATTTGTATTTTCTCCTGTTATGTCATTGGTAATCATATTTTGTACATTTTTCTGTAGAGAGTCTCAAGTTTATGATGATTTCAAAGTYTATATTTTATAAAAGTTTGACCTTGCTATGATGATTGATCTTAGGTGGTTTACCTTGCTTTTATGTCCTTTCATTTGAGAAAGATACACAGTGACTACTCATCTATCATATGATGTGAAGCTGCTGTTTTACTTTGCAATTATTATGGTCAATAGTTTGAGACCCTGTACTGTACTGGCTATAACTGACTACATAGGAAGTCTTAAGCAGATTCATATTATTTGGTGAAGAAAGATTACCTAATATCATTTGGAACAGGATTTAGGGGAAAGAAAGAGAACCTTGCAGTTGAAAATTGAATAAATTCAGGAATAATTGAGATATTGATATAAATTTTGGAATTGGGAATTCATGCTTACTTGGAACATTTAAGAATTAGAAGGTAAAATAAATGAGTTTTATTTCTCTAGGTGTGTCAAATGTGAGAGTTAAGATGAGGGAATACTGAAATTTGTTAGACTCTTGCTATGGCAGCGTGAGAGGAGGGATGTTTTGAATGTGTGTTGCAGTGATTTTAGTGCAGAATTAACTTGTTTAAAATATGATATRTTGCAGTGCAGCTATAACATGCTTTCCTCTGCAGGCTCTGTCTACTATTTATGAAGCTTCTGCCCAGCTTGCATTGTTTATAAGAGAACCTTCATCWTACCTTTATCTGTACCAAGCCTTCCCTTAGGTATTAAGGATCCCCAGATTTTATTTTTGACATCGGCTTTGGTGGAACAGCAATCATGGTAAGATGTACATTAAAGTACAGGGGTGGTAAGATGCTATAAGGGCCCAAAATAATAGTTTCCCAAGGTGTGAGGAGCTTTGGGTTTTAAAAGTTAGGAAAGAGAATATATCCATAGACGTATTCTTATTGTATTAAAAAAAAACTGGAGATGAGAAATGTCTGGTTCCTATTATTGGTTGGTTGTACAAGTTATACAAATCATGCTGAAAAGAGAAAGATAACTTATGATGTAAGAAAATACAGAAGTAGTTTTTGGTGATCATTGCTGTTTTAAGGAACCATCTTGCCCATTGGTGACTCTTAATTTCTGAAGACTTACAGACTACTTAGGAAAGTTTTTTCTCCTTTTTTTAAAGTATAGAGATTGATCTCAGGGGTGCTTCACTACTGAGCTATCACCAGCCCATTAATTTTTTTTAACTTTTTTTGTTTTAAGGACTGTCTGGCTAAGTTGCTGAGGCTGGCCTTAAAATTGCAGTCATTCTGCCTCAGCCTTCCAAGTTGCTGGGACAAAAGAATCAGTTGGTTAATATAGATGAAAATTATCTGGATAGAGTGTCATAATAAAAACTTCATGATTCTGAAAATATAGAGCATGCATTCTCCAAGAGTATCAAAATTGGTTCTTGACGTATCAAAAAAAATAACATTCTATATTGTTTTATAATACCACAAAGAATCACATTATATTAATATAGGGAGATCATGACTCTATATTAAAATCTCACATGGGAGGGTTACTGTGATAAATATCTAAAATGGTGCTGTAGGGGAACAAAAACGAAAGAAAATGTGGAGAAACAAGAATTTGGAAGTTCTGAATATTGTTGTAGGTGTTATGGATCTGAATGTCTTTACAAAGCTAAGAAATACTATGCATTATGCTTTAGTTAGGTTGATGGGATTTGTAGTTTTATTTTAGGTAYAGATTTGTTCAGGGTAAAACAAACAGTTTATAAAATCAAATGATCAGAAAAAAGGTAGTATTTGGGAAGGGTAGAGAGATTATAGTTCTAAAAGGTAACCAACTGTGAGCTGAGGGATTTCAGAAAAAAATATAATGAGTAATGATGGGAAAACTGCCTAAAATTTTAAGAAGTAAAGGTTTTCTTAGAAGAATCTAGTGGTCCTGGGTCAAAATTTGGTCTAGTATATTTAGTGAGAGAGAAGAAATGATGCAGAAAAGGCTTGGAAGAGGACTTGTTAAGGAAACCAGATTTGGATTGATATGGGAGCAGGCAAGAAATGAGACAAATTGACTATTGACATTCCTTTTAATAATTCCAGACTGTGGGCAAGAGTAGCAAGATGCTGCAGCACATTGACTATAGAATGAGATGTATCTTGCAAGATGGCCGAATCTTCATTGGCACCTTTAAGGCTTTTGACAAGCATATGAATTTGATCCTCTGTGATTGTGATGAGTTCAGGAAAATCAAGTAAGTCTGAGGATTGGGTAACAGTTGGAAGCAAAAGCAGTGAAAATCCAAGGGCAGAGCTAAAGTAGAGTTTATAAAGGGTGACTTTCATGTAGAGAAACTATAGCAGGGCCAGTCTATTGTCTAATCTCTTAATGTCATGTCTGACTTGGRTTAGAGCTTTAAAGGCATTGCATCCAATGTATTAGTGTAAATTTGCAAAAACAATCATGCATTACTGAGAATAAAACAGCACAATATGATTGAAATATCAAATTATATGTATTTCAAAAAATTAGAAGTATTAATTGACTGTCCTCTGTGACAGTCTTACATTGAAGGAGAGAAAATAATTGTCCATGGTTTGGAAATTGTGTTATGAATACCATTTGGTATCCTTTCTCTCTATTACTGTTTCTTTTATTTCAGTTTTGTATTCAAGATTTATTTAGTTAAAAGTGATTTTAAAAATTTATTTTCCATTTCTTTAATGTTTTCTTAGTTGTTGATAGACATTTATTTTATTTATTTATTTTAGGTAAGCACTGTACCACTGAGCCACTACCCCAGYCCTATTTTCCATTTTAATGTGGAAATAGAGTTGAAAATTTTGCCTACCTTAAAAGGCTAAGTCTCATAATTTCCATCTGTATTTTACAAAAGTAATTCACTTTTTGTAATATTTGTGTAATATCCAGGAAATATTCTGGAAAGGACAATAGTTAAAATAGGAAAGGAGCTTTGCTATTTATATATGTAAATTGAGTCTGAATGTTTCATATAGGGAATAACTTAAGTGAGAATCTTGGCATTAGTTTTTGTCTTATTTAGTACTTGTGTTTAATGAATAATTTGAGGATTGCTAAAATTTCTCTCACTAAAATTTCTTCTTATTCATAGGCCAAAGAATGCAAAGCAGCCAGAGCGTGAAGAAAAGCGGGTTTTAGGTCTGGTGTTGCTGCGTGGGGAGAACTTGGTATCCATGACTGTGGAGGGA